GCCGTGCGGGTACTTTCACTTCGTCCAAGCTTTTTCCCGCGGGAAATCGCTGCGGTTCTTTAAGGGTCGCTGGTTCGAGACTCTGGACCGATCGACGAAGGGATCCACGCTGGAATTTCGAAATCGTACGATCTTGGCGCCGATATTTTCTTCAAATCATTCGACGCTGCGTCAACGACCGTCCAAAGGTAGCATAAAGGTCGAAACCCTCGCGTACCAGATTTGGGCTGATTTTTTCATTCGTGCCGTACCGAGCCTGGCACGTAAGCGCGTGTTTCGACCGTAAGACTCGTAAAAACAATCAACGCGACGAGTTTACGAGACGGAGAAAATCTAGCGTATAATTATCATATCCGTGCGCCCGTCGCTTTCCGACGACCATTAACGCGGCAGAGAATTCCGCGTCGAAGGGCCAGCGATTCGCTAATTGAACGAGTCGCTCGTTAATCTTCGACCGATATCGCGTTTACGACGACGTGTGACTGGCTGGAAAAATGAATAAGAAACTTTTAGGAAACACGAATATCAGAGAAACTTGGCGCAATTATCGCGCAACGTGCCAGAAAAACTCGAGCTACGGAACGTTCGCGGAGTGAAATGTAAGCGATTTCTTCTGCTTCCTCTCGGGCCACGCTTCCTATCGATCAGTCGACTTTGCATCGGCGCGACGTACTCGAGGCATCTTGCGCTAATACGCGACAACGAACGTCTCCTCCGCTCGTATACGGCTTCGCCGTGAAACACGCAACCGTCCCCGTCTCTTTGTTCGCAAATTTGCGGGAATCCGTGGAATTTTTCAAACGCGGCTCGTTGCGCGCACGCTTGCGACACGCGCGTCGAAGGAAAAACGTGCGCTCGCGAAACCCCGTCGCGGCAAGATCATTTCCACGAACGGGAATCGATCGTTTGCCGTCGCGATGGACGTTTCGCGGATCTTCACGGCATCCGCGATGCTTGCGAAACCCAAGCTGACTCTCCATTAGACCGTCGACGGACAATTTTGAGGTAATATTTCGTCGAGAAGATTCGTTATATTCGACGCTCCCGTTCAATGTTCCAATGTTCCTAAGTTTAGAAAGCGGTATTCGTGGAATCGCAAAATAGAAAATCGACCGAGACAATCTAAACGCGTATCGAGGTAATGTCTCCCTAATTGACGCCCAAATTGTGCACAAAAATTGGCAATTTGGGAAGAGGAGGTACGATTATTCGAGCCTTGCGCCCCGTTTTTATAATCGTTGACAACACTGTCCGACAAAATCAAACTTTTTTCTGATTTCCTATAGCCACTATGAAATTCTCGTAGTGCTTCACTCCCCGAACAAGAATCCGAAAACCGAATTGCTCCATCACCCTCAGTTTTTGAGAAAAACGAACTTTTGTAAAAACCTAAAATTTTCGACAAAAATTAGATATTGCATGAAAAGTACAAACGCTAGAAAGTTCTAATCGGTCTGAAAAGATAGAGGAAAGTTTTCCGAATATAGTGGCATACAATTTATTAATTGTTTTGGGTCCTAAATAACTATAAATTAATGTCAAATTTTAAAAAAGTGTCGACGTGCGCAGTTTCTCCGCAATATGTTTGTATTTTTACGAAAAGTTCTTTGTTCAGCACGAAAACGCTATCCAGGATCGGGTTCTGTAGACATTTCTGAAGAAGAAACGGCCCGATAGAAGCGTCGGAACAATATACATTTTGAGTAGGCCGAGAAAATGTTCGTCGGCAACATGTACACGATGTTTTGACGCCATGTGCTTCGCTGCTCACTTCTCTCTGCCCGACAGGGCCGAAGCTAT